TACCTAGTACTTGTGACAGTGTAGTAGTACATGTGGAAATTGATATTTCTGCCCTTTCTACATCCAAAGGCTTTATTTATTTAATGATGTGATGTGGGATTGCTGAGTGAGTGAGATACTATGCTCCTAAGGGCGTTGGTTAATTATTTATTCTATTGATCAACCTCGGTGTTGCAAGATCTTCCTGGGGCACTCCCAGCCTTTAAAATGGATGTTCTTAATTGCAAGACAAAGTTCCATTTAAGAGTTATAGTAGCCAAATCACCTTGCTCAACTGTTAGCTCAGAAACAATTTTTTCTAAACTAAATCAAAAACTCTTTAAGGGTTAGTAAAAATGGTATATGTAAAAATGTATTGTGTGATTGTTTCTTAAATAATGCTATTGACAACAAAAGTATTCAATAGTTGATTAAAAGCGCTCACTATAACATTTCACTGTTCATATTATAAACTAACTTAATACATTTTAGGGTACTTGTATAATAGCAGGTAGCGTCAAAACCTCCCTTGTTATCTAATCTTATTTCACATAACCTCCCTTATCTCCTCTAGCCTAAGTTATTCCCTTGTTTATTTTTTGTCCCTTGTGTAAGCTGTGAATTAGTCTTATTTAATTATGGATGTTTGCACGTTGTGGGAATTGCCATCTTCAGAAGAAGAGGCTATCAAATATTTTTAAGACGTCGGGATATTTGCAAAGGTGAAATATTGTGATTAAGATCATCAAATGAACTTCAACAGGAAGATTAAATGGAGATGCTTTTGTAGTTGTAAAAAAACCGTTTCTATGAGTGGAATAAGGAAAGGAACGTGGTTAGAGGGATCGAGGATTTCTTTTTTAACGACTTTAAAATTCATATGCGTACATATGCTATTTAAGTAGTTTTTTATTTTTTCATTTATTTTTGTCTATTTTTTTCCCTTTTTTTGTTATTTAATTTATTTTTATATATATGTTGCAATGGTTTCATAATATATTTTAATTATATATATATATAATGTTTTGGTCTATTTAATATATATCTTGTAAAATAAAAGTATTTTTTTATTATTACATTTGTTTTTGTTTACAATTTCAATAATATGAATATAATACAATAAATATGATTATGAAGATAGGAATTGTGAGAAGCCTTATCAGAATTATCAGTGTTAAGATTATAAACATTGGCAGATAGCAGTTGGACGCTACCCCCTATTATACATGTACCCATTTTAGTATTAAATATTTCATATTATGAACTCTCTTAATACATTTCAGCATAAAATAGTAAGTTTCTTATGTATTTGTGTAATTACAATTATATCAATTATGTTTTTGTTACAGAGAAGCATTAGAACAAACATTTTATGAGCTTCTTTATGAACCATCCGGAGAATTCGATAATTTCTGTTGTATGACGTATAGTGATTTTGAATTATTGTTAAACAAAATTTCACCATTGATTACAAAGCAAGATACAAGTTGCAGAAAAGCTATCCCAGCGAAATATCGTCTCGCATTAACATTAAGATATTTAGCATCTGGTGACAGCTTCGCAAGTTTACACCATCTGTTTAAGGTATCTGTCCAAAGCATTTCAAAGATCGTACCCGAAGTCTGCAAAGCTATTAATGAAGTTCTAAAGGATGAAATTAAGGTAAAGAACATATTAGATTTTATTAAAAATATTTTGATAAAGTGAAAAATTTTTAAACCAAATTGTTAATATATATTTATACAATTAAAATTATAACCAGGAAATCATTAAAAGAAAAAAACTTCAAAAATGATTTTTTTAATTTGATGATTTCAATTTTCAAACTAGCAAATTACTTTTTCAGAAATTTTACAGAACTGGTCATAATGGAAATTTATTTTGCTACTTGGACCTTGCAAATAATGTGCATATTTGTTCATTTGGGAATATAATATTGAAATAAGTAAATGTTACATATTATGAGAAACAGGAATTAATTTCCATTTGAAATAATATAATAAAACCTGTGTATAGATTAAAATTGGCTGTATGTACTGACTTATTTGAGGTTTCTTCAGTAACTCCCTATGATAACGTTGATAGTTGTTGCTAAAAATAAACAGTGATTAGTACTAAATATACCATTATTGTTTATTAGATTTCAGTATTACTAATATATTTTAAATTGTTAGTTTTGAAAAGTTTCTCTAGTCAGATGTAGTTTAAAATTTTAGTAGGAACAAGATTTTGTTTATGACAGACAAGAATAAAGATATAGGGGATTTATGTCTGAAACATCTTTATTTGAGCAAAATAAAAGTCTTTAATTATAACAGGCTAGAGAAGCTCTTAGATCCTATCCATTTATTTCAAATTGTGTTTGCCTAATGGTGGAAATTCAACCAGAATCATTATTGAAAATTTGGGAAAAACTTAAATGAATTTGCATATCTCCATAATTTTTTTTCCTACTCTTATATATTCATACATAACACTTTTATATGTACTTAAAATATAAAAGAGTGCAGTACCATTTGTGAATTTTTTGAGTTATTCGCAAATAATATTCTAAATCCTTTATTATCTTCTCAGCCTCTTTTCGGGGAAGTATGTTGTATAAATAAATTAAAAGGGCTTCAAGGAGAAAACTTTAGCCAAGTCTAATGAAAATTGTTACAGCCGTTTGTCACTATAGTTTATGGTGGGTCATATTTTATAGGCTTTATTTCAAAATGAAAGGCCGGATGGAAATGAAGTGTCTATAAAAACATTCCTGAATTTGATTGCAATGTTGTATTTCAAAGCAATCAGTAAAGAACTTTCGGAGATTAGCTGTTTTGAACAAACTTAACGTTTACATTTACATTTTTATTTATATATACTGTTTCCAAATTGTTTTTATTGATAACATTAAAGCTCATCAATAATTACTAAACAAAATCGATTGATTGAACTGTTTTGCCTGTTGAACTAAATTGTACTGAAAACAAAAAATCACCAGTTCAACAAAATTAATAATACATTATTATTCCAGATGCCTACGACTGCAGAAGATTGGATAAATATTGCAGAAGATTACAGCAGCACATTTCCACATTGTGTGGGTTCACTGGATGCCAAACGTATCATTATAGGAAACCCTCATAGCGAAAATAAAGACAGAAAGAAACCATCTAGCATTGTTCTTATGACATTAATTGACAGCAATTATAAATTTATATTCGCAGAAGTAGGAAATCATATGAGACAAAATGATGGTGATTTTTTTAATAATTCATTATTGTGGCAAAGGATCAGTAAAAATGAAATTAATTTTCCCGAACCATGCCCTCTTCCTGGAGGAAATGATGATGTCCCTTATGTTTTTTTAGCCGATAGTCCTTTTGCTTTAAGTACACATGTAATGAAGCCTTACCCTGGTGAACATGACTTCGGCTCACCTAAACAGAAATTTAACCAATGTTTTTATAGATCTAGGGATGTGGTGGAAAATGTATTTGGAGTTATAAGTTCAGTATTTAGACTTTTCCGACGACAAATAGATGTAGAATCGGATACTGTGTCAGAGATCATGATGACCTGTGTAATACTCCATAACTGTCTTATAAAAAGTGAAAGTTCAGCTGAAAAATATATTCCCCCAGGAACATTTGATGAATATGATAATGATGGCAATTTGATTTCACTTGGTTCATGGAGGAGCCATCACAATGAATTTAATGCTATAAAAAATTTGCGACCCGTACCTTGTAGGACACCATTGAGTGCCTCGCTGATTAGGGAAGAATTTACTTCATATTTTTGTAGGAATATGAGATGACATTCTTGAGCTTCATAAGAAAGTTGTATATATATTTGTGCATATTGTAGTTATATGTATATTTTTTAATAGTCTTTCAATTGTATACTCTTATTAATAAGTTACCTTAAAAAGTAAAGTTGTTTTTATATTTCTTGTAAATAAAAGTTTTTGTAATAAAGACATTTTTTCTTTGTAGCAATCTTTTGTTATATCACTATTTTTCATAATACTGCAGTTTTATAGTTGGTACTAATATTATTATTTATTAATTATCCTGTTTTACAGTCTTCTTTTAACAAAATTCTTAAGAAGTTAGATTTTTAAGATTATAAGAAGATTTTTTGTAATTAATAAGCAAAAAAGTCCAAATTCATAAATCCCTGAAGCATGGAAGAGCAAAAGAATCCAAGTGCTATTTTAAAAACTGAATTCACAATATTTTTTTTTATAGGTCTGTGGAAAGTTTAACATACTATTTCGTGTGTGATTTTACTACTTACACAATCACAAGATATCAGAGAAAATGTTTTTTAATTAAATGTACATCAGCCCAATCTATAAATTAAAAAAAAAAACGGGACAGAAAAAAATGCAAATACTACAGAGAAATCTATTTAGTAACCCTTTTGCTAAAATATTAGTGAAACTTATAAGAAACAAATTAGAACATGGGTTTAGGGGTTCAAAAGACCAATGTGGATTTACAGCGGGAAGATTGTACATTGACCATATATTCACCATGAGGCAATTGTTGTAGAAACATCAAGCGGTTAACAGAGACATTGAACTAATATTTATAGACCAGGAAAAAGCGTATGACAGTGTCCCTCGAAAACTATCATGGCAGCCCTCCAAAATGCAAACATTAATATAGGTCTGATATATATAATAAAGGAAACACCTGCCAGGTCAAAATTGGACCATACCTTTCTGAGCCTTTCCCAACAAGCAAAGGATTACTCCAGGGATGTTGTGTCTCTCCTTCTCTGTTCAAGATTTATTTTGACCTATCCCTCGCAGATGACCTGGTCATCATTGCGCAGGAAGCAAATGTTGCATATATGTTAAGAATGATTAATGATTAAATGAGGAATACCAGCAGTGGGGACTAGTTATTAATGCAGAGAAAACAGATCACATGACATTCAATAATGAGGATATAGAACTATTTCCAATAGGAGTTCTAAAAAGAATTAAACATTTTAAATATCTTGGTTCCATAATTGAAATAGATGGTGCATCTAATGTGGAAATAAAAAGAAAAATATCAGTTGGCAAAAAGACCGTATCAATGCTCAACAACGTATTATGGAACCAGGACATTATCCCCAAAACAAAAAAAAAAAACATGTACAATAGTATAGTACTGAGCATTGAGACATATGGGTCAGAAACTTGGACCATAAAAAGCAATCTCAGGAAGAAACTTCTAGCCACTGAAATAGACTATTGGAGAAGAACGGCGGGAATATCCAGAATGGATAAAGTGAGAAATACGACAATCAGAGAAAAGATGGAGACTAAAAGAATCATTCTGGAAAAGAATGAGAAAAAACGCCTGAAGTGCTATGGACATTTGAAAAGAATGCCGGAAGTGGTATGGACATTTGAAAAGAATGCCTGAAGGAAGACTACCTAAAGAGGTCCACTTATGGAAAACTAGGGAAAGAAGAAGACGAGGAAGACTTGGGATAACGAAGTGGAGGAATCCATGACGAGTCATGGTCTACGGGAAGAAAGGACCTTAGATAGGACATTATGGAAAGAAGCCCTCCAAGCACTTTAGGTTAAGGAAACCCACTATTAGTGGAAACTTCTATTTAAAAAAATATTATTTGAACATTTCGCAAATAAGAAAACAATTGCTTGATATCCAGAACCATAAGACTTATCGACACAGTCGAATTATATATTAATAAAAGTGATATGTACTTTAATCGATCTGACACTTTAATCACTTTCCAATGAACGTTTGCCTTCTATCGATATGCTCAGATCGTTTCTATCTCTTTGGAATGTAGTTCTGTAACCTTCTTGACAACAAATTATAGATTTTCTTGTTAAGTTCGACTTGCCCGTGCCGTTTCTTTTTTCTTTACCCTTAGAAGTTTGTAGAAAACAAAAAAGATGTCTGAGAGAAAAGTTTTAAATGTAAGTATTAAGCTCATTATTTATGTTATAACAATCCTATCGAATTTGAGATATTATTAATTTTATATGTTTTCAGAAATATTATCCCCCTGATTTCGACCCTTCGAAAATACCTCGTATGAAATTTTCTAAAAACAGACAATTCACAGTTCGACTTATGGCCCCTTTCAATATGAGGTAACAATTAAAACTAATAGACATTTTTGGTGGTGAATGATATGAAGTTGTTAATTGAAACTTTCACTAACTGAAAGAAACTACTTTATGTTTACGGTATAATCATAATTATTTGCTTTCAAAAGAAAAATTATACTATAATTATAGGTTGATGGTTGACTAGTGAATTATGAAGAGAAGGATAATTGGGGTGATCAGTCAAAAATATAAATGGCAAAAATAAATAATAATGTTTATTTTAACATTTGTCGATGTTTCGAACCAAAGTTCAGGTCTGAGAAAAGGCCTGCATCACGACACACTTAATTATTATATGTATTTTATTTTTACCGTGTATTACTTCATTTAGTAATTGTTTTAATTTCATAATTTTTATATATTTGATATACAATGGTATGTAGTAAAGTAAAAACTAATACCGAAAATGGTTTCATTGATGAATTTTTAGGTGCAAAACATGTGGAGAATATATTTATAAAGGGAAGAAATTTAATGCTAGAAAAGAAGATGTTGAGGGAGAAGATTACCTAGGTATTAGGATATTCCGGTTCTACATAAAAGTAAGTTAATCTTTAATCTTTTTAAATAAATCCTATGTGAATTCTTAACACTAACCATTCTCATTTATATAGTGCACTCGATGTTTACAAGAAATATCTTTTAAAACTGATCCCAAGAATACTGATTATGAAATTGAAGCGGGAGCCACCAGAAATTTCATGGCATTAAAACTTGCTGAGGAGCAAGCCGAAAAAGAAAAAGAAGAAATGAAAGAAGAGGAAGCTTCAAATCCTATGAAGGTAATGAAAGTTAAGAATTAAAAAAAAAAGTATTAATTGTTGATTTTAATATCATTGTTGATTTTAAACTTTCCATTGATTTGTGATTAGATCGGGTTTGTAGACCTTCATCTTTGAGGATTTATAGCTCATTTTTACTTTCACTTACCTATATATGAAATAATGATGTAGAGATGGTTGACCGTTGATATGATATGAGAAGGAATTAGTCGAGGGTGCGGTCAAAAAAAAAATAAAAAAAAATTAAAATATATAAATAATTTTAATTTTTGCCGACGTTTCGACCCACTTTGTAGGTCGTCTTCAGGGCTACAAAAGATACGATTTTATTTTAAATAAGATTTTATTTTTATATTTTCAACATGTTTGTATCTTTTGTAGTCCTGAAGACGACCTGCAAAGTGGGTCGAAACGTCGGCAAAAATTAAAATTATTTATATATTTTAATTTTTTTTAATTTTTTTTTTTTACCGCACCCTTGACTAATTCCTTCTCATATATATGAAATATATTGTTAGGGACAATATTGCGATTGTGAAAATTTTTAAATCTGAGTTTTCAACGGAAATACATGTTTTGAGGTCTCCTGAGTTCAAATAACCATGTTCCGCAAAATGGTCTGTATGTATGTGACAGGTCTAGCTCAAAAACGAAAAGTCGCATGAAATTTAAATTTCATGATGTTACAGCAACATTTTTGTCAAAATCGGCTAACCAGAAGTGGCACTTTATATCGTCGATGAAATACATTTTTACTATTTTCTCTGAAATGTATCCAATGATTTTGATTAAATTCATTATATCAGTGTAAAATTAAGCAGTTTTTAATGTTATGTAGGTTTTATTCTCATTGATGTTCTCTAACAGGACTTAAATGGATAATTTTCAATATTAGCTTCCTCTAAAGTACCTTTAGTTTTTTTTATTTGAAACAATTAACCATTTCACATTGATTTTTTATATAAAAAATAGTTCAATATAAAATATGAAACAATTTGATAATTAACTAATGGAGATCGTAACAGAGAATCGTAACAGAGAATAGGGATGCGAGCGAGGCTAAGCTCACTCAAGTTGACCCGAAGATTAGAACAGGCTCCATACGTAACATGAGCATAATAAAATACGGAGTCTGACAATATATATTTATGTATATATACATTTGCAATTTTCCTAAATGTTTTTTTAGTATTATTTAATATTTAATTGTATAGATTACAGCAATATAAATATTAAAATTTGTATATATATGGGTACTTAAACAAATAAAAGTATCCGCAATGAAATATAAATCAATATAGCGTTTATAATTTTTAATAATATGGCATTTATAATTTATAATAATATAGCGTTTTTAATTTTTACATAATATGAAAATTAAAAACATTTTAATTTTTTTGTCCCAATTTGTTTGTCATGAGTTTTGAAACTATTTATTGATGTATTCCAAGTATTTAACTATAAACAATGGTGTTAAGTTAAAAATATAATTGAAAATGAAAATTAATAAGAAATAATAAAAATAAATTATTTTATTTTGTATACTAATTTGAGCTTAGACATTCAGAATTTTCCCCGCTTACATTCAAGGTTTCAACAATCTAAAAAGATCTTGAATACATTCTTGAGATATGTTTTCTTAGTCTTTTATTTGAATAAGTTATAGTTATCAAAGTAATTATCATAAAATCTGGTATTTATTTTTTTTTGTCTTGAAAAGTCATTCAAACAATGTTCAATAGAGTTAAGATTTGGACTAAGTGACTTGTTACATTTTGTACATTCGAACTTTCTCTTTCAGCTTTTAGAAAATAGAACCAAACAATCAAAGATGGAATTAGAACTTTTGGAATCATTGGAAGAATTGAAAGATTTGAATAAGAGACAACAAAACATAGATTATGATTCGATGCTTTCCCAGTTCAGTTCCAAGGAGGCGCAAGAAAAAATTCTCAAAATGCAAGAGGCCGAAGATGAGAAATTTATTAAGTAAATTTATTTTATTAATTTTAAACCATCATTATTTCCAGTCAATTATTTATTGACTGTATGTTTCTTTGATTATTAAAAAAAAAATCGTATCTAAACTTTTTTAAAAGTTATTTATTTTATTAATTGTTTATTTTAGGAAAGTGTTTGGTCAGAAAAAAGTTGTAACTGTAAAGGAAGAAGTGATAGACGATGTGAGAGAGCCTTCAAAAAAGAAATCAAAGAAACATTATCAAAATGAAGATATCTCATCTTCAACTTCTGTCGAAGGAGATTCGGTAATATTTAAATTATATTTTTTCATTTTCTCCTTCCTATTAAAATACTGTTATTTTTCCTCACAAAACTACCTGGTTTTGTCATAAATACTGTTATAAAAGTTGAACTTTGTTTACATCCTTGGGTATTATTTAGATAATCCTTACCTCTATCAGGTTATTTTCTTTACATGTCAGGATAATAATCTCAATTACTTCGTGTTTTTCTTTGGCTCAGTTAACATAGTGTGGGGTGATAAAGAAAACTGAATAGCTGTGATCGCCTTACACAAAGTTGGAAAATGTAGGTCAGAGATTTTCAACACTTTGAAACCTTTACATATCAGCTGTATGTTCGTGTACCGCACTATAAATAGGTATAATGAGACATTATCTGTATGTGTGAGACCTCGACCAGGCCCCCGCATTGGGAGAACGGCAAATGCAGTGAGAGCAGTGGCTGCTCGAATCAGAAGAGATCCCATTCGAAAACAACAAATCATGTCTCGGGAAATGGAAATCTCTCTTAGAGCAATGTCTCGCATAGTAAAAAGTGATCTTAGGATGGGTGCATTTCGAAGAATCACAGAACAAACGCTAACCACTTCCCTAAAAAAAATTAGAGTGGATAGATTCAAAGTGCTCTTTGGCCGTTACACCAATGATGTTCATCGAAAGATTTGGTTTAGCAATGAGGAAGTTTTTACAATTGAAGAAAAATTTAATTGCCAAAATGATCGTATGTATGCAAACAGCTCTAAAGAAGCCCAAGAAACCATCGGAAGATTGGAAAGAGGTCATCACCCTTCTTTAGTGATGGTTTGTTGGGGAATGGTGGAGAATTTGGTGACACCACAAAGCTCCATTTTTGTGAAAACAGAATTAAAAGAGCCGCTAAAAACTATTAGGACAATATTTCGGAACATGTTGTCAATCCTCTAAATGATACTCTGTTTGCTGTAAGTCATAGGGTTTTTCTGCAGGATTCCACTCTAGCTCACAAGGCCAGGTCAACTTAACAGTGGCTGCAAAAGAACATTCCAGAGTTCATCTCTGCCTATATATTCCTGGGGCACACTCAGCCTTTACAAATTGGGCACACTTAATTAATTGATTGGTTAAGGAGAAAAATCTTTTATTTTTTTTTTTGATACTCTTTCCTCGCCATTTCTGACATATTTACTTGTATTAGAGACACAACCAAACCTATTCTAACCACTTGGGAAGATCAAGATTCATTCCGTGGGTCCACCACAAAATAAATTATAACCAACCCAGGGTGGATTTGAACTGCCATTGTAAGATTCGAAAATGTTAAAGTTTACGGTTTAACACACTCAGCCATCTCAACCTCAAGAATTACTTGACATTAGCTGGACTGGAACTAGGAAGCATAAGCTTTGAAAGTCTTTGCTTACCTACTGAATTCTCTCATTATCTGACGGTTGAGCATGGTATTAGCCCATTGATCTCTATGCACAACCGTTGACATAGAAACCGTACTTCCTTATAAAGTACCGACCCCTGGCCCCTTTATAGATTGTAGTGGTGCAAGTTTTAGCTGTAAAAAAGATTTTTGTTTTTTAAATTACCCTGAAATTATAGATATATTGTACCTTGACAGTTCTGTCATGTTTATTTCAGCCAAGTATTAATGAATTTTCTCATCTTGTCATCATTGCGAGCAGGGGCACTGTTACATAGAATCCAACAGCTGTACGGAATTAGGTTTCATTTACTCTTTCAGGTACACTGGGACCTTATTATTAACTTTTTTTATTACTGGCATTCAATTCATTAATTTAATGGAACAAAATACATGTGAAACTGAAGAAAAAAAAGAGTTTTGAATTAAATGCAATGCGTGGTTAATATCATTCTATGTAACCAACAAAACCCTACATCATGACCTTAATATTCCATTTGTCCTAGACCTTATCCCTGAAAAGTTTTCCAAATTCCATTAGAACCTTACAAATCACCCAAATCCACTTACACAGTCCTTATCTAGTTCCACTCATCCTTACAACCCTCCTCGAAGGTAGAAGTTGCAGTGGCCCAGAGATTTTCTGTAGTATATATCTGACAATGGCCAGATTCTCCACTCAAGATATGTATGTGACTAAAGTGCTCTCAATCAATCTCCGCTGGCTTTAGTACCAGTGATGCGGTTGAGAGAGTTGCGCAGGGATCACTTGGAGTCCTGCTTTTCTCTCTATAGGTAGAGGGCAAAGACAAGCCTGGCTTGTGGTTCCCTACCTGATTGTATATAGGTGTTTTTACTGAGTTTTTATGTTTTTAATTTACTCTTATCTTTAGGTTATTTTATTTTTTATTGTGCATAGCTGTTTGATTATTATTTAGTTATTATTTTACCTTTGTTAATTTTATGTTTTCCGTATATATGGTGTGAATGTGTTCATATCGCACTATAATTATTGTCCACATGACAGATTATTATATTTCTAAATAATATATCATATAATAACATGTAAAGAAAAATAGAGGTATATTTCTTCTGGAATTCCCTCAGAGCTGCTTGAGATGCACATTCAAGTGTCTTTCTTCCTATGATTTCAAAACCTAAATCTACTTTATGTGCTATCATAAATGCTTTAACATTGCACGATTTTAACATTAGTAAGCTGCTTGAAAGTGTTCTATTTGCATTTACGATTCCATTAAGTGGAACATAGGTCTTTTTTATGCATTTTGGAATCGTGATAAATGAAGTATACTGTGACCAAAGCTATCAGAACAGGGAAGAACTGTGTGTGTTATACTTGGTGCAATTTTCCTTGTTTATCTTCGTTTTAAATTTTCAAAAATTGTTGTTAATGTTATAATTTTTTTCTTCTAGAATGGATTGGTTTCATCATCTACATCAACTGTTTCGAAAGCTGTTGCTCCAAAAGCCATCGACCAATCGTGGAATAAGAGTTTGGGTGTTATGAAAAGACCGCTTGGCAACTTAGTAAGGGTAAAGAAATCAGAACCAGAATCAGTTAAAGAAGAAAAAGAATCTAGCTCAGTCGATAATGTATCTTCGAGTACATCAGACTCAGCTAATGGAGGTACTTCTTCCGCTTCTGCATTGTCGATGCTCGGTTCATATTCCAGTAGCGATAGTGACTGATTTTGACTTTTGCTATTGTATACATTGTATATATATATTATTTATACCAAATGCTGGATGATTTTTTTTCAATTTTTTTTGCTCTGATTTTTTTAATAATTAATATGTTACTATATCTGTAAATATAATTTTATATTATTTTATTTGATAACAAAGATTAAAGATGTTTTATTGAAGTGATTAAAACGATTATAATTTTATGAAGAAACCCTATCTAATTAATTCTTTAGTATATTGTAACATAACTGGGTTCATGTTTAGATATTATTTGGACTACTGTAGATTTTGGTATTAAGTAATGCTGTGAAACAGATGCAGAGAAACCTTCCCTTTAGTTTAGTTTCAATATTTTGTTTGATTTTGATACTTGGATCTTGATCTTTCTCATCTTTCTGGGCAAACGATACCTAATTTTAGTATTTTTATTTGCTCAAAAACATTTCAAAAATGGATTTTTTTTTTTCTTCTTGGGTAGCGACCGACCTGAAAAAATGAGAAAAGTCAGGGAATTTTCAAAACAGGGAAAAGTCAGAGAGAAATAAGGAAAAAATAGTTCATAGAATTTTTTTAGTACATAAATATTTATTCAAATTGGTAATAAATATACAGTAGATATCATTATTAATGACATTGAAGGAGTAAACTTCGTGGTTATAAATGGCCACAGTCACTATATATTTAAATCAAACAAGGGTAATGAATAAAATTTAAGCAAACTAGACTGATAACAGAGATTGTTTGAAAAGAAAAACATACCAATACTGTTTGCTATTTGTAATATACAAGGTGTTTTGTAATTGCACGACACTATTTTAGGTATGTTTTCACTAACACAAAAAAATTCATATTAACATATATCTCAAACTCATTTACTAAACAGATATCAAAGGTTAAAGATTTTTTATTTATTTTCACTATTTATTTATTATTATTAAAATATTTAGAATAACTGTTCAAAGGGGCCCCCGTTTTGTTGAATGCAACATTCAGCACGACGAATCCATGCTTCTCTGGCTCTTCATATAGCATCAGGATGATGTTCGATAGTTACTGCGGCTTCCACAATCCAATTTCTTAGTTCTTCTTGCGTGCCAACTGCTGCAGAATAAACCATAGACTTCATCCAGCCCCACAAAAATAATCTAATGGCATAAAATCCGGAGATCATAGTGGCCATTTAACAGGTCTGTTTCGACCAATCCATCGGTCTCCCTAAGTTCCATTTAAATAATCAGTGACAGTATTAGAAAAGTGAGCTGGAGCATCGTCATGCTTAAACCAGAGCCTTTGCCTTATGCCTAGCGAAATATCTTCTAGGAGTTCATGAAGATTATTTTGCAAAAAATGCAAGTAAGATATACCTGACAGCCAAGGTGGCAAAAAGAAGGGGCTGATGATGTTGTCGCTTAGAGGACCACACTAGACATTTAAAGAAAAGGTATGTTGGTAATGTCCAACAGCATTCGTATGAGGATTTTCTTTAGCCCAAGTATGGGTATTTCAAAAATTAAGAATTCCGTTTCTTGTAAAGTAAGATTCCTCAGTAACCAAAATGCAGTCTAAATCGATTTAACCTCTGGGAGAAATTTCTGCACTTGTTATAATCTTGTAACAAATCTTGCCTACTCGATACGTGAAATGGATACAATTGTTGTTCGCCATACACTGGTAGAGGAAACATCGAAACGACGTGACAATCTTCTGGTACTAGTAGTAGGAGATAACTGAACAGCATTGAGTATTTCTTCTTCAACGTTTGCAGTTCGTCCAAATCTTTATTGAACGGTGTATACTTGTATAGGTTTTAGCATGCCATTATTCCTAAGGCGTCTTTCAATGGCCTCAAACGTTTTACGATTTGGTATTCTTCAGTTAGGAAATTTTTCACGTTATCTTCGAACAGCAGCAGCACCGTTTCTATGTACCTTGCCATAAGTTAAAAGTATGTCTGTTTGTTCTGAAAAAGTGAATACATTTATTGTGTCTCCCATGATAATCATAACTTGAACTGTGTCATAGTGTCCACTCACACTAAAACATACAAAACTATACAAACAGATGAGCAACTACTGCCATTGCTTATCGTTCATTTGTTTATCAGGTGATTAAAAACCTGTTATTTAGTATTAAACACGTTAAACTTTGTACAGTCAGTCTTAATGTAGTAAATAAATAATAAATCTTTAACCTTTGATATCTGATTAATAAATGAGTTTAAGATATATGTTAATATGAACTTTTTTGTTTATTTTGTGTTAGTGCACACATATCTAAAATAGTGCTGTGCAATTACAAAACATCCTGTATACATGAATGGACATATTTTTTTTTATAAAGTAATGAATTTCTTTATGGTAATTCTGTCTATAGATAAAAGTCAATTAGAACATTTGTCGACAATAGAATGAAGATTCAGGTCAAAGATCAACTTCTAAAAAAAATTGTGTTGAATATGTCTCACGAACTGTCCGCTATTTATTGATTTTTTCTCCTTCGAAAAAATAAATAAATAAATAGCACTCCCCTATTGTGTGTTGTCCTAAACTCAGTTAAAACAGACCAGATGCTTTCGCGAACCCATTGATACTGATAGGATCAATCAGTTCACAGTGCTTGGCACAGGTGGACTTACAGGGGGGGGGTAGGCTTTGGGGCTTAAGCCTACCCCCCTAAAATGGTAAACTATAACCATGTTTTATAGGGAAAGATATTAAAAACTATCTCTTAAACTATTATTGTTCGTGTAATTACATTTAATAGGACTTCAAGAATCACTAAAACACCATGTCATATAGGTAGTTAGTTTCTTTCTTTTTTTTCCAAATTAATTATCGTTATGTGTATTTAAAAAAAATCTTTAGGCTGAAGCCCCCCTCCAAAATTAAATCCTGGATCTGCTAGTGGTGCTTGAGGTCAGATAAAGATGAGATAAAGCCATTCATGAAGTTTTAGATAGTCAAATCTCTCAAGGCATATATAGCTCAGGGACTGATCAATCCCTGTTACAGGCCCCTTTTTATCAAATTATTAAAATCTGTTTGAAAATACGTAAATATCTTCTTCTCATCCTAACTTACAACTATTTTATTTACGAAAATTCTTGGAATTGGGACGTTTTCAATCTGGAGATCGTAAAATTTTGTCTATTTAATTAGGTACTAAAAAAACGTAAATACTCATTGCTTTTCACTTCAATCGTAAGATAATTTGAGCACAAAATAGAGAAAAAAAGGTGTTCTCCAAAAATATTGAGCCGTTTGGCATAACCTAAACGCCCAAAATGTCAAAATAACGATGTTATATAGGCCATTCGCCACAATATTTTTGTAGGACATCTTTTTTCTCGATTTTTCGATCAAATTATCTTACGATCCAAGAGGAAAGCAAATGGGTATTTACAGTTTTTTTAGTACCTAATTAAATAGACCAAGTTAGACGATCTCCAGATTGAAAACCTCCAATTCCGAAAATTTCCGTAGATAAAATATTTGTAGTTTACGATGAGATTAAGCTATTTACGAATTTTCAGCCAGAATAATTTGATAAAAAGGTGTCTGTACCACGGACTATGGAGTTATTAGGTCTATAAAAAAAAAAAAGAGATTTTTCTTGCCTACAGTCGATATGATAAAAAGAGTTTGTGCTATTGTATAACCTCGTTATTTTGACATTTTGGGAGTGGAGGTCACGCCAAACAGACAAATATTTTTGTAGGCCACTTTTTTTAAATTTTTATTTTGTGATCTTATTATCTTATGATTCAAAAAGGTACTCATGAGTTTTTAGTCCCTAATTAAATAGATATTTATAAGTAAATAAGGTTTACTGATCTCCTGATTAAAATCGCCCCAATTCCGAGAATTTTCGTAAATAAAATATTTGTAGGCTATGAAGAGAAGAAGTTATTTACGAAGTTTTTGGCGGATGTTAATTTTTTGATAAAAAAGGGTTATGTACCGCTGAATATACGTCCCTGCTTTGAGTTGGCAGACTTGAGAAAAATTAATGCGTGACCTACACCCCCAAATTTTCAAAATACCGAGGTTATATAGGACAAACGGTCTAATATTTCTGCAGGGCACCTTTTTTCTCGATTTTTTGATCAAATTATCTTACGATCTAAGTGAAAAGCAAATGAGTATTTACAAGTTTTTAGTATCTAATTAAATAGATAAAGTTTGCCGAACTCAATTCCATGAGTTTTCGTAAATAAAATAGAAAATATTTGTAGTATCAACTATGAATCCCGGAACATGTTTAAGGAACTATTCACAAACGTGGAGTAGCTAAAGTGAATAAAAATCACTTGCGTGTTCAACGAAGAAAAGAACCGACTTCATTTATCAGAATGCAATATACAAAATCGAGAAAAAAAGGTATCCTACAAAAATATTGGGGCGTTTGGCCTATATAACATCGTTATTTTGACATTTTGGGAGAGTAGGTAGATCACGCCAAACGGCTCTATATTTTTGTAGATCAACTTTTTTTCTTGATTTTGGGCTCAAATTATCTTACGATTGAAGTAAAAAGCAAATGAGTATTTATGTTTTTTTAGTGCATAAGTAATTAGACAGAGCGTGACGATCTCCAGATTGAAAACGCCCCAATTCCAAGAATTTTCGGAAATAAAATAGTTGTAGGTTACAATGAGAAGAAGATATTTAGTAATTTCAAGCAGATTTTAATAATATGATAAAAAAGGAACCTGTACCACGGATTGCTCAGTTCCTCAGCTATATATGCCTAGAGAGATTTGACTATCTAAAACTTCGTGAATGGCTTTATCTCATCTTTATCTGACCTCAAGCACTGTGAACTGAGTGATCCTATCACTTTTTGAGGTCTCAGTGCACCCTCCCCCCCCCCCCCCTATGCCTGAGGGGAAAAATAGCCCACACTTCCTGAGACATATTCAACACAATTTTTTTAGAAGTTGATGTTCGGCCTGAATCTTCATTCTATTATCAACAAATGTTCTAATTGACTTTTATTTATAGTCAAAATTACCATAATAAATTCATTATTTCATTAAAAAAATATGTCCATACATATTTAATAATTCGATAAAAATGGGTTTGTACCACGGACTAGAATGTGGTGAATCTTTCAAATCCAAAAATGACGATCTACCAAAGTCGAAATAGGTTCTTCTCAATATTCCGTGATAAAGATGAACAACTAAAAGT